TCTACTTTCCTTTTTTTTTTTTTTTTTTTTTTTTTTGGGAAACGCTAAGCTATATTCTTCTCTAATTTGAACCTCTCACTTGCACATCCATTGGACATCATCGACTCTACTTTCCATGAAGTTGCCTGCAAGCTACCATCTTCAGCCGAGCAGAACGCCGGTCATTGTTGCTGCATCTGGACTGAAAAATGCCCCAAATACAGTTCTAATGACCGCCCGTTATATTTGGGTGAAGATGGCGGTGCTGAGCCTTTTCGCTAAGCTCTGTCAGCAATGCGGCAGAGCATAACATACGGAAAGGGGGACTTCAGACATAACGTGCATTTTCGAATGCAGAGTTGTGGGACGCAAAATTTCGCAGTAACATAAGCTCGACGGCTTATTAACGCAATAATTTGAAAATGAAATAGATTAAGCGAGCAGCCAAGGTTGCTCCAGAAAAAAAAAAAAAGAAAACCAAGAAAAAAAGGAGATGATCCAGAATGGATATGCCAAGCGCCCGCAGAAAGACCATGAAGGATAATTAAAGGAACAGGGGAAATTGACTTAATGTCTTACACATTCCCAATAACTAAACCTGGTAGGAGGCAGTAGCACAGTGGTGGAAAAACCACCCCTCCATTGATGGATCTCTCGTTGTAACATTTTGTAATTCGATTGGTCAGAAAAAAATCAAAACCAAGGAGAAGAAAAACTCAACCATGTTGAGTCGACAGTCGAAAAAGCAAAAATATTGAATAATCTATGAAAAGAAAAAATCTTGACCATGAGTTGCCACTACAGCCAGGTACGTATAAACGTACCTCCAGCCGGAAAAAAAGAAAAAAAGAGAAGTTGATAAGGCTGATAAAGGGCCTCACACCCACGACTCACCACATGCACAAAAGACACAATATGGCGGGGAGCGGGGAGAGAGAGAGAGAGAGAGAGAGAGAGAGAGAGAGAGAGAGAGAGGAGACCACAGCGACTAACCTGCCAAAATGCGAGAGGAACAAATGATGCGACGTCGCATCGGAAGCCATTGACCCCTTTCTTTGCCCAGAAAACCAGTGTGTCGAACAGGTATTCCCAGAGATCTTTGTCATGGAATGAAAGATCTGCTACATCAGACCACGGGCTTGTCGGTCGTCCATACTTGTCCTGGAAATTGGAAAGAAAGCGGAGACGACAAAGGCGCAGCACATAAAAAAACAGGAAAGAGAAACTACAGTCAATTCTAACAAGTTACAGATCATCACCAAAGTCAAATTTGACCAAGTTCCAAATCATCGCCAGATGACCAGCAGCAACACAGACAAGAGAAACCAACACAAGATGGCAACAGCGGGACCAATTATGCATGCGAGCAGCATTTGACGGACTCGTATTGACATGTCGAGGGAATGAAACGACACAAGAGACATGTGACACAGTGAGCAAAGTGAGATGAGATTAAAAAAAAGGAGTGATTTCATTTCGCGGCATAGAAGATACACAAGCGAAGAACGTGAAAGCGAAGGGATTACTCACCCGCTTGAACCATTCAGGGTGCGACTTCGCCAGCACGGAGTCTCTTGCGGTGTGATTGAAAACAATATCGATCATGAAGCGCAAACCTATTTTCCTTGCTGCCCTCACAAGGCTCTCAAAATCTGCACGCCAACAAGATCAGAGCCAACATTAATTTAGCCATCCCGGTGAACCATCCCCTCCTCTGCCACTCTCCCTCCGTCAAGGACGGGCTTAGACTCTAAGAGCCTCTAAGGATTCCTAATTGCGAGTCATGACGACAACTCGCATGTACTTTTGCACAGTCGAAACATACCACCAGCAATTCCAAGCCTCTTTTTTCTGATACCAGTTTTCTGCCAGACGCCAAAAACAATCCACCAGGCACGCGCGAGAGAAATCGGATCTGTTTGCCTGGGGCCCCCGAAGACACGCGCATGTTAACCAGCACATCGGAGCAACATAGCGTTTCCTTGCCTGGTGAATTAAACGCACCGGAGGTTTAAACCACCAGTACACAACCCCAGCCTTGCACATTTAAATCACCAGTACCTCACCCTTATATCGGCCGCACCACCAGTACCTTACCCTTGCAACGCCCGCAGGCCACTCACCGCAACTTTCGGCGGCCCGAAACGCAACGCAGACCGCCGATGAAATTTATCAACGGCCGCACGGCACTGGAAGTTGCGGCGAATAACACGCCGCATATTTGCTTTTCAAGCGGGGAAAGGTACTGGCGGTTTGACACGATGCCCTATAGATCTCTCTTTATTTGCCATAGTAGCATTGATTTAGGCCATTGGGGCGAAACCCATGCTGATCGACTACACCCCTCTAGAGAAGGCAGGAGGCAGCCTAACAAGATCCAGAGAGTCAGAGACCACTGCACTTCTTCCACCCTCCACCTCCCCTCCCCTCATCTACTCAGGTACAAGACAAAGAGAAGAGCAACAAGGACGTCACCGTGAGATGAATCAAGGAAAAGTTTCACGAACTCCCACTCTGATCACCTGAAGGAGAAGCACCGAGAAGATCTAGGCTGCAGCAAGGGAAGAGAACAAGGATCCCAGCGGCCGTACATGATAATAAGTGAGGAAGAAAAAGCCGATGGGAGAGGATTCGGGAATGCAGAAGATTCAGGAGACACGAGCGCCTTATAGATTATGGGACTGAAGACAAGAGAGAGAGAGAGAGAGAGAGAGAGAGAGAGAGAGAGAGAGAGAGAGAGTTGAAGACAAGATCTTAACGGTTGTTGTCTGTTACATAAGTCAGAAAAATTCACAGAGTTGTGCAACAGTGAATACACCCTCACCTTCAATTGTCCCGTAAGAAAGGTTCACCCCTCTGCAAGAAGAGACACCAACATACACAAACACAACATGCCTGTGTCAGCTCACTCAAAGGCTTAGCGTGCCTGCAAGGGATGATACCACATTATGCTCCCCCAGGGCTTAGCTGAGTTAACTCTCTGGTTGTTTTCTTTCCACGAAGTCACTGCTTTTTACACAATCCTGCCAGGCTGTCATCAACGATTACTTTTGCCAGGCTGAGCAGAGATCCTTTTCCACAACAATCAATGAGTCAGACATCAACACGCACGACCCTTGTTTCACTTTCCGACACCCCTTTCCCGTCGTCCACAGCAAGCTCAGCCTGGCCAACATCAGCCATCTATGTCCACAAGTAAATCATAAAATACCAAACCTCTCGTGATAATTTTGTCTCCATCTCATTACCACCCCATCTTATCCACAGTCTCATCATAGCGCACATTTCTCCTATGACGATTTACTGTCCACCTCATAAATTAAAATTCCTTTTCCACAAAACACTCCCAAACATATCTGGGAAAACTTACATTCCACAATTCTTTCGATTACTTGCCAAACAACATCAACCTTGAAGTTCTCGTCCAGATGCAGACCATGCAGCCCCATGCGAATGCGAACCTGGTCCTATCCGTGAGGTCCATGCGAACCCGGTCCTATCCGTGAGGTCCATGCGAACCTGGTCCTATCCGTGAGGTCCATGCTGACCGGGTCCCTGATACTGGGACGTCAAAGACAGAAGGACTAGCTAGGCGCCATTCCCGGTACTTAACCAAATTAAATTTTAAAAGGGCGCTACGTGCCAAACCATTCCCGGTACTTAACCAAAAATAAATAAAAACAGGGCGCTATGTGCCAAATGGCAAGTACAACATGAACGAAGACATGACTGCACAAGCACGTTTGCAGTGAGTTCCTTGCCCCCAGATCATCAATAAAAACAGGGCGCTATGTGCCAAATGGCAAGTACAACATGAACGAAGACATGACTGCACACGCACGTTTGCAGTGAGTTCCTTGCCCCCAGATCATCGGCGAGATGATCGCATTTTGTGCGTGTAGCTAGAGGCTGCCAGAGTGGCCCGGGACCACCTGCCCGGCCAGGCCTGAAAAATTCAAAAAAATAAAATACTGACGAGTCGGTGAAACTCCGACGAAACAGTTTGTTACAGCCCCTCGTATGTTGTCCACTTCTCCCTCTCTGCCTACGGTTTACCAGGCAGCTCTGTTCGACGATATATAATCTCAATGCGACCCTGATGCAAAAGTTGTTCGGTTTAATTTTCTGCATAACAGTTCTTTTTTTTTTTTTTTGGCTGGGTCCTTCCCTGGTCCTTGCAAGGTCGAGCCGCCCGGGAAAACAGGGTAACCCGGGCGGACCGGCTGGTATCCTGCTTGCGTAGATATTAGGGTGAAGCTGGCTCAATAACCAACCGATAGGTTCAGACATGAACTTCAGACATGAACCTGTCTACGTACATCCACCTGGCAAACAGGTGAGTATAAAGTACTATGAAGTACCATAAACTGTTCAGTTCTGACTCCTGAGTTCGCAAGGAAGCCTGCTGTAACACAGATTGTCTCCAATGTAAGACAACTGTACCCAAGACCAGCCTCTACACAGATCACCCCAATATATATTTATCCATACCCTCTATCTATCGAGTGTGTGGTGTTGGTACCCTCTATCTATTGAGCGAGCGGTGCTAGTACCCTCGATCTACTGAGGGTGCGGGACGGCATGCATCTAATGCCCCATGTGAGTGAGAAAGCCCCACAGCACAGCCCCCGACATGCAGAGCCAGATCACCCAGCTCCGCAATACTCCACCACAGCCTGTGAGTTGGTTGATTTTGTGTTGTAATTCTCACCACGTACATTCAGAAACAAATAAGAAGAGACGAGGCATTGAAGGTAACTTCAACATACTCGCACCACAACTTCCTCGGCTGAATTTGGTCATGTTTGTGGCCAAATACATCTAGGAGACCGCAGATTGGTGGACACTTTTGTAGACGGCAATGGTGAATGGACAAACTTTGCAGTGCATGCCATGACACCGTGCAGGCCATCCATCTCCCTTTTTTCTCGTTTTTCTCTGACATATGGGGAACCTTGCGGTGTGTTTCAAGCTCGTGCTCTTTATTTGTATACTTCCTCTGCATGCAAAAAGATTGTTCGTCTACTTCCTCTGCATGCAAAAATATTGGACTCCTCGAATGCACCTGATCCAAAGAGCGTCCAAATGCATGTAGAATGTTGGGTAGTGGAGTGAGGCCCAAAGGATAGTTTAAAAGAACTTCATTTTGTGAAACCTAGCGGTGTGTTTCAAGTTCGTGCTCCTTACTTCCTCTGCATGCAAAAATATTGTTAGTCTACTTCCTCTGCATGCAAAAATATTGGACTCCTCGAATGCATCTGATCCAAAGAGCGTCCAAATGCATGTAGAGTGTTGGGTAGTGGAGTGAGGCCCAAAGGATAGTTTAAAAGAACTTCATTTCGTGAAACCTAGTGGTGTGTTTCAAGTCCGTGCTCCTTATTCATATACTTCCTCTGCATGCAAAAATATTGGACTCCTCGAATGCACCTGATCCAAAGAGCGTCCAAATGCATGTAGAGTGTTGGGTAGTGGAGTGAGGCCCAAAGCATAGTTTGCACAAATGCATTCTCGTAAAAGGACACTTTTCAAGAACCTGATGTAACGACTCCACAATCTTTTTTGTGGGGCATGTTGGGTAGACAGGCAAGAAGCCACTTGCAGGCCGGCAAGTAGTTGGGAGCTTCACTACACACTACTCTGACATGCATTTGGATGCTTTCAGGACCAGGTGCATTCCAACGAGCCCAAGAACCTAACGTAACGACTCTGACTCTGCGATTGTTTCAGTGGCGTGCTGGGTAGACAGGCAAACAGACAACTAAAACGACCAGTGAATAAGCTCCACTACCCAACACTTTTACATGCATCAGGACGCTTTCTGGACCAGGTGAATTCGGACGAGCCCAAGACCATGACGTTCCATGATTGTTTTGGTGGCATGTGGGGTCGACAGGCATGCAGACGAGCCAGTGGTTGTGAGCTCCACTACCCAATGCAGCCATGCATTTGAACGTTTTCTGGACCAGATGCAGTCGGACGAGTCCAACATTTTGAATGTCTCAGGTCCAGAAAGTTGTCCAAGTGCATGTGCAGTCTTATGTAGTGGAGCCAACGCCATAGTTCGCACAAAAGCCTCCTCATGAAGGATACATTTCAAGACACTGACGTAACGACTCCACGACGATTTCCGTGGCATGTTGGGTAGACACTGGACAGGCAAGCAGACGAGGGCCACCAGCGGTTGGGAAGGTCCTAGGAGGCAGAACAAGAGAGCAATGTCTGCCTCCTGTTTCTTTTTTCACGTGTAAGGGTCCTGCTCCACTACTCTCCACATGCACAAAAGACAAAAAATATGGCCGTGCACCTAACCATCTCCTAGTACCAGATTCAAGTCTCATTTTGCACATTTCGAGAATTGCTGTAATGGATCAAAGCTCTAGATCATTAGAACAACCTGCTTCTGTGTACACACATAAATCATTAACGCAACCCAAGCTCTGTGTGCAAGTAAATATCATCAAAGCAACTGAAAGTAAGATCTACTCTAAGGGACATATAATGGCATTTCTGTCTTTCAAAAATACCGTTCCTTTCCATGCATAATTGCAAACGATGTGCCCAACTGCCGCAACAGACGCAACTGCTTCAATATGTCTTACATTTCCTTTTTTCTTTTTTTTAGTATTTATCTGACCTCTTGAATGCAACATTACCCCCCCACCCCCCACCCCCGCAAAAAAAAAGAAGTCTGTTCCTACCTTCTTCTACCGAACACAGTTCCTCATCATGACTACATCAGACAGAGAACACTCATGAGACCTCCTGGATGCATCTGGCCACAATTACGGCGTGTGCATGAATCTTGTCCAGAATAAAGTCTAAAAAGTGCAAGTGTGTGTGTGCCCTGAGATAGACAGCTGTACAAACAACGGTCACCTTTTCTTACGAAACAGAGGAGACAAATGGACCCATTTCTAACACATGCTGGTGCTATATTCCAAGCCATCCTGGGAAACACGAAGAAAGGCGAAGAAAAAAAAAGAGAAACAAAAGGCAAACAAAAACAAGACAAAGCACGAGGCTGCACCCACAGCCACATGTTCTCCTGCTTTTTTCTCTGCACATTGCAGTGCAGCAACACAGGCAAGCTCCTGATCTTCCGCAAACCTATGCTCGTTTAGATACCAGCGAGAGTCCCAGGTAGTCTTCAGCCCCTCCACTTGAGATGAAGGACCTGCTGAGCCACTAAGACGGCTGTTCTTATGCCGACAAGCGGCATCGGCTTATATCGACATAATCATACACTCAACTCTCACCCATGTCATCATCACATGTTTGCATTCCTATCGGGAAGATCAGAACGTGGCCATGCACGTGACTGGGCTGCAGACGCCACATGCGTGAAAGCGGATTGGATCCTCGGATGGTGGAGTAGAAGTAGACGTCATTACCAAGTAGTACCTAGAGCCCCACTGCAAATGAGGAAAGGCCAGGCACTACTATCGCTGTGTGCATCCTTCTCGTTCACATGAACCTGGTCAGTGTTATGACCAGGCTCATACTCCACAGGCACCTGCATCGCATCCAAGGGCGGTGACTCGAAAAGGGACTGGCAGGGTTAACTTTTACACAGACTGGCATGGATGTGCTCTGAAGCACATCCTATTAAAGAACATACTACGAGGGGGGGAGCATGGAAAGGGGAACAAGGAGAGGGTGTAGCAACATGGCATAAAGGAAAAGGTTCGAGAGGAAATAATTAAGTGGCACATATAGGGTCAGGAGTTAAAAGGCATTGGGGGGGGGGGGGGGGCCCGGCAGGAGCATTTTAGACCGCATGGCAGGAGCATTTTAGACCCATAGATACCACAGAGCCTTGGGGGGGGAATTGGAGGGGTAGGACTACGGGGCGCAAC